TTTTAATTTTATTTAAAAAATTATAAATACTTTTTAAAATTCTAGGCAAATTTGCCTGGAATATGGTTTAAGGGATAGTAAAAACAAATAAGTTTAGCTAAAATAATTTAGCATAAAGTAATTAAATAGCTTTATTAAGTTAATAGACTATTTGTAAAATATATTTAAAATTAGTATTATTAAAGTACTAATAAACTTGAGAATTGCCAATATATTAAGTAATTCATATTTATATTAATTTGTAAATAAAAAGATTATTAAACCCAAAATTAGTTTTATAAAATTTACAAATTAATTTTATTAGGCTTTAAAGTATTTTATTTATAGAAATATAGAAACTTCTACTTATTATGTAAATATAGCCCCCCTAGAGTCAGTCATTTGATACAATCATTTAACAATTACAAGTTCTAAAATAATCAATTATTTGACAATTATAAGTTCTAAAGTAATTAAATTTGTAATTATCAAACTATTGTGTCAAACAACTGACTTCGAGAGAACTATATCTATCTAATATCTGGAAGCTCCTTAAGCAAAGTATATAATTAATTATAACATTTATCTGTCTATAATTTTTTTCTTACAAGCTTTTTTTTCTTATAAATTTAAAAAAAAAAAGTAATCAACTTTTTACTATACTCTTAAAAAAAATATTTTTATTTTTTAACTTTAAGCAGAATTGTAAAAAGTTAGTAGTATTGCAAAAAAACAGAATAGCCAATAATTCAACATATTAAAATATTTTATATTTCAAAAATAATGCTTTAAATCTTCTTAAAAATAGCTTCCTGAAAATTATTGCAAAAAGTATTGAAGTTCTAGAATTAGATTTATACTTAAAGTGTAAAAAAAAAACTTTTTTTATACAAACTTAAAAAACTATTTATGATACTTATTTGTAAATATATATACTACTATAGTTGTCTTGAGGATTATATAAAAGATTATTTACAAAACTAAATATACAATAGAAATTGAACTTATTGATTATGCATATTATTCTGGCACTTCTAAGCAAATTATCTCAGATTTAATACAAATTTTACCAGAAATAATATCTGATTAGAGCCAAAATATAATAACTTCAGATACAATACATATTTTTATCTTTATTTCTTTATTTTATTTAGATAATACAAACCAAATCAAAAAAAATCTAGTGAAGATACTATTAAAAATAGATTATCTAATAAAAAATCAAAACAGAATAAGGAAAAAAATGACAAAAAAAACTCTAATACTAAAAAAAACTTATTACAAAATTAAAATTTAATATCTCTAAATAAAACAAAATAACTTTTTCTAAATAATAACTATTGAAGATAACCTACAATCTATTGATTTTCTAAATTTATATATAGTTAGTGCTTGGCACAACCAAACAAAAATTTGATAGTCAAATACTTGTTAATACTTGTAATTAAGTCAGGCATCAAATGATTGCAGATTAACCAATAGTATATATATTTAGCTTTAGTTAATCTGCAATCATTGATATCTAATTTAAACATAAGTATTAACAAGTATTTGACTGTTAAATTTTTGTTTGATTGTGCCAAGCACTATATATAGTTAGATCTTTCTAAATACACATTACCAGAACTATCTCTAAAGCATATATTTAAGAAGAGCTGCAATTAGAGAATATAATAAAATTGCAATATTACTATTAGTATATATATAATAATGTGATTTTATTAATCTTGAAATAATAAATTTGATTAGTTAGTAATCATATGAATATATTTATGAAGGAAGTTTTTATAAGTGGGCCAGATAGTTAGTATGTACTTACAAAATAAAAATATATATTTATTTATAAGTTCTATTATGAGCCTGGGCTTATATCATGTATTTAAATAGATGCTACATTTAGAGAAAGTGTATTTAGAGAGGTCTGATTGTATTAAAATTACCTCTGCTGAAAGTAAAAATCAAAAACAAAATCAGAAAGTAATTTTTCAATACTATAACTTTAGAATAGCTATAGCAAAATGCTTTAAGTTTCATTATAAAAAATCTTATAATATAAATAATACTAATAGTGATATAAACAAAAAAATTAAAAAAACAGCTTTCTAATAGTACTCCTGAAACTACTATTCAAAAAAAAAAAGCCCAAAAGATTTTTTATTTATTTAGTAAAATAAGATAGGACAATTAAAATCTTTTAGTGTATTAACAATTGCCAAATTAACTACTGTATTAATTAAATTAACTATAATATTTCAAATTCCTGATCGTATAATTCACGTGGACGTGACCTCGAAGGTTACACTCAGTGATTACTGCGCCATATATTAAATGTAATAATTTTCATTCCATGTAAAAGTTTTGCATTCTATATAAAAAATGAAATCCATTACATAGTATAAAATGTTTATATTGGTATATATAAAAAATTCTCTAAATAATGCATAATTTGTTTGTAAACAGACAAGTGCCACACACTACAGGTTTGTATAGGGGCAAAGCCCACATTGCTATGCAATAATAAAAATTTTTAACTACGTATATATTATTTTTTCTGTTAATATATAACGATGAAAGAGCAGAATAACAATAAAAAGGCATATTTTTAGAGGGTGGAAGCACGAGTGTAAGGTTTGTGACGAATGTAATCATCATTAACACCTATATTGCAAAACATGCAAAAAAGTAGCGGATGGAATATATAGGCGATGTGAATGTAAAAATTTACATACAATAAATAATATCGATATATCAATTCTTAGCAATAGAACCCGTGGGACCGTTAAGTCATGTGCCTGTGACCTCGAAGGATGATTACTGCGTCTGTTCAAAGTTGTGTGATAACGCAGAAAATGTAAAAATAAAGCTATCATTATTAAATTTGTAAATGTTGGCGCCCCGGTTTTATTATCGTGGGACACTCCGTTCTTGAAGTTTATAACTGTCTTATATTTCTGCTGTAGATTTTGATGTTTCTGTTTTATAGTATCTATGTTTCTGAGAATTTATTTGTAATACAAATTCTAGGTTTTATTAAACTCCAAATAATATGATATAGCAGTTATGATTATAATAGTTACTATATTCCAACAATTGAGATGACAGGTTTTTTTTTGCCATAATCTTCACCCCGCTTGTCTTGTACGTACATCATTTTTTAATGCTCTTTATTATATGCCAAGCACATTTCGAATTGCATGTTTCAGTAATACATAACTTATTATTTATAAATTTTAGCGACGGCTCATCACCCAAAATTCCAGAAATATTCAATTACAAAAATATTGACATCGATTTACTGCGACTCAACCACAATGTGAAAATTTTGCACATTGGGGCAGTTCTTATGGTGCTAAGACATTTAGTAAGGATCACGGCAAATGGTTGTATTTTGAAAGTTATATCAAGTAAAACTGAAACTCAATTTATCTTTTCAGAGTGCACATTCACTCAATTCAAGTGAAACTATTATTGGTAATGAAATTTAAAAAAACCTAATTGTACAAAAGAACTTTGTAACCATGTACGCTCATCTATTTTTTCAATCTAATTTGATGGTAAGCCAATAACAGGAAACTTTACTAATTTTGGTGAAGGGATGGGTATTCTGACATAAGTAGAGCGTGGTGAACTAGGTGGAGAATCAGAAGTAATTACCTCCAATACTTCAAAGATTCGATCCTTAAAATCAGAAGCATTAAATGCAATCTGCAATAAAAATAATGAACAGAAACTACTATACGTTACTTACTTTAACCTTGTATAGTGCTTCTAATATTGGTATCAGGTTTAAGAACTGTGCCCGTTCCGTTGGGGTCACAACATTCGCCATCAAAAACATTCTATAGATACCATCGTACTTTAGATCCATTTCATAGATCCGAATACGTGAACCTATAATATTTATTTTAATAAATGCCATCAAGTATTAATAAATGAATTACCAAATGTATCCACTTACCACTGACCCAGATTCCAAATGAAA